GTAGAATTTTGAGACAACAGTGACATCGGTTAGGTAAAACCTATTTACTATTATGTGGTCTGTTTCGTTATGGTACTCTCCATTGAGAGATTCCCACGTCCAGCGCTGAGGATGAGGCTTCTAAAATTGCGAGTCACCATGGATCGTCTTGATCGCCGTGATAAACTCAGACAGCCGTTCACCCTGCTCGTTCCATTCTAATCCGTGGGTCCCAATGTGACGTTCTTCAGACGTTCTTCTTGATCCAGTCTTGGCGTTGAAATCTGCAATGATGACCTTGAAGAATGTGTAGTCTTCTTTGTAGAACCTCTCCATGTCAATATAGAACGTTTCGACTTCTTCTTCGTCATAGTTTAATGTCGGCGCGTAAACGACGAAGATTGTCAAAGCCGGAATTGATCCACGTCCTTTCAATCGTAAACGTCCGATTCGGGTTGCAAGTTGTTCGAATGAATCGATGTTCATGGACAAACTCGTGTTGCTGACTCCTCTGCTGTCGCATGTTCCGAGGAACAGTTCTTCTCCGATGTCATAGACAGCGTTGAATGGGTGGCGTCGTTTCGTCTCGGCCAAGCCGATGACGTCGTACCTTATTCTTCTAGCTTGCATTATCAAGTCTTCTATCGAGGACTCGGATGCAAATGTACGTGCGTTGTAGGTACATATCGTCACCTCAGTTCGTTGCGATTTAATCAGCTTAGAGTGGCCCTGAGATTTTAAAAAGATTATGTGAAAGTATGTACCAAATCGGTGCAGTAGAAGCAGGGAGTCTTTGGATCCACGTGCGTCTTGGGGAAAAATAGAAGGTCGCTTTTGGACCACGAATAACCGCTTATCCTCCACGTCGGGGGACACACCACGTTGCTACGCGACTAACCAAGTTCAGATCAATCTATGAGGGAGATTTGTGGTGGATTAAAAACACAGATGAAAATTCTTCGAATTCCCCATTTCTCTTGCTGGATTTATGGATCGAAATACCGTAGTGGTCATATTTTAAGAGTTTTTCTTTGCATATGTTGTTCTTCCAGCAACAGTTATGGCGATTTTCACGGTGTTTCTGGATTTTTATTCCAGGTTTTTGGCCTAGCGTTCGTCCTTCGCAGCGGCACTATGCAATCAATACGGCAACACCGTCAGTGCAATTCCACCATGGTTCGTTTTGATCGTTTTATATATAGTTCTTTCCTCTTCCTCTCGACATTCTGACGATTTTTGTAGATTCTAATTCATTAGGAAGATGGGTTCCATTCAAATTTTTCGAATGCTCATAAATTCCTGACTGAATTCTCTTTCTTCTTGCAGCCCTGATACAACGGTTGACGATTTTTACACGATTACAACAAGGTTCGGACTTCATGAAAGCATGGATAATATTTTGAGAGGAAATGTCTTCATAGGATTGTCGAATAGCCAAGAGTCGGATGTCATTAGTCTGTTGATTTCTTCTTCACAACGAAAGCAAGTCTAGGTCACCTTTATCAGATAGGTGGCCGGTTATTTCTGAAGTGCGCCATCATCTTGTCAACGTGGTGTTGTACTTCAGAAGAATAAAGAGTTTTCGTCGACACGTCTTGGTTGTTCGGTTAACCACAACATTTTCTGCTAAATTTATTTGCATATTACTTGCACATTAGTTTATTTGTTTAATTATTTTCATGTATTTATTTGCAAATTTATTTGCCTCCCACTTTTTTGCCGCGTTGTCGTGGCTGAGAGGTGTTCCTGAGTGTCGGGCTGCGATGTACAGCCGGAGGATTCGTCACCACGGCAGGCTCTCCCAAGCTGAGGAGTCTGGCGTTTCTATCAGGAAACCTAGCTAGGAGTAAACCAATACAAGGATCCACCACACCGTCTTGGTATTAAAGTCGCATGATGGCAAATCTCGCTCTCACTCACAAGAGTTGTTGACGTGATTCGTTGCAGCACAGGAGTAATCGAATGCATGTGTACCCTGTGCAATGACTTACAGTGGCGTGCCGATGTATCGGGCCAGCGCTGTTATCGTTCCAAACAGGTCTGATATCAATTTTCCTGCTCCGTAGGGATGGAAAGCTTGATAAGCCCGGGCCAGGACATCAAGCCAGTGATTGATCTAGTGTGTATTGCAAGGCAATTCTAAGCAATAGGCTACACGCGCCCCATTCTTTGGAATCCAAGAGAAGATCTTGGAAAACTACCAACGTACTACTGATATGATATAAATGAGGAAGTTCGCAGTAGTCCTTGTGAAACCGCCCATTCAAATTAGTAAGTTCTATACTATCTCACTTTTGCGTACTGAATAAGATATTTGATTCGTTATCGCAGAGGGGCGCGTGTAACGGAGTGGTCAGAGGCGCCCTGCAACACACACGTGGATTCGACCCCTGTGCCCCTGGCCTTCCATCGCTCCGGAGTCGGCAAATTGGTACCAGACTTCTCTGGGAGGATAGCAGCATTGGCTCGATACATCGGTAGGCCACCGCGAGCCATTGTAAACGCCAGATATGCATTCAATCACCTCGAAACGATGCTTAATGAAGTCGAATGCATCCTTAAGGGATTGATCAACGCCGAGAGCTTTACCCTTTTTTTTATAGAAGACCAGGTGTGTTGTCCAACTTGCTTACACCTTTGGTGACATCTCTCTCCGGAGAACTTATAAAATCCTAAACATTGTTGAGATAATTGGCGTTGTCGAATCGCTTCCTGAGAGGTAAAGATGGATGGTGCTGTATTCATCTGTAGCCACAGACGGGTTTCTTTGGTACATGTCTGTTTCCTGCTTTCCCAAGAACTGATAGAGTCACCTTATTTATATTACTTTTAAAAGCTTCCGTATACAGTTTTTGCGAGAACCGACACTTGTTACTTTAAATGGAGTTCTACAAATTGAGTGACGACTTTGATATGGTCTGTACAAGAAAACTCGTTTTGTAATATTTTCAAACTCTTTAAGTCCTCATTCAGAGCCTTTGATACCAACATAAGGATAACGTTCGTGAAAAGTTTCACGAGCCCACCCAGAACATCAGGGTTACGATCATCCTATGTCAGTTCGTTTTAGCAAATCGATTATCCACAAGATTTTTCACTTGTCAGGGATTCTTTTCCTTTTAATTTTTTCCCGAACTAAATATCCTTAACCATTCTCCTCTTCAAAGGCTTTAAAAGCAAGAAAAAATTTTTTATATCAGTTGTATCAGTGACTTTGCACGTCAGCTGGACAAATAGTAACGTCCGTGGACTGGTCAGCGCTGGCGTGTTTCGTATAGGTAAGCCGTGCCATGAAAGAGTTCCTTTTTCCAAGACTGAACGAACACAACGAAAAGAAGAGATTCGATAGATACGAGCACAACAATGTCGAGATATGAACAGGACCGTGTACCTCAGCTGCGCTTCGAACCCGCGATCGCCCTTTCCGGAGGTTCACTTTTTTTCCACTGCAACAACTGAGGCTGTAGTTTTACCTTTCTCATACTCAGTAGATAGCTAGATTCTGCAGTTATAATCAAATAGCTAAAATCAAATAATTGACGGAAACATCGGCAAGGGATCAATGCGTCAAAAATTTTGTATGTGTAATATTGGCATTTCCAAACGATAAGAGTTGTGCTGGACCCGTACCACTCAGTGATGCGGCAAAAAATCAATAGCGCGTTGACCGCCGACGGAATGGCGGAACGTCCGCCGGTCGCCCGGCAGGTCTTGACGTTTACGCGATGGCGATGCTGTGTCGCCTAAGAGTCCCGACGTGCCTCAGAACGGCAACGACCCTCAGATACGACATGGTATGTGCTTTTCATCTTGAAGTCAACTAGTATTGTCTGCTTTTAATCAAAAGAATACTACCCGTGTTATCCGTAAAAACGCGCACGAACTGATTTCTCGTTTTGTTAGGCCGAGATTTCTCATTAGTTGATCGTAAATTCGCTAGCAAAACCTTGAAGAAACGCTTAAATGATTTAATTAGACAGATAGGCCAACTGGTAGCATAATTTATACCGTCGTGTGTTCCGAGCTAACTTTTTATTTACTGCCTATTACTACTACTCATGGCCGGATGTGATGTGAGATACAACTACTATGATGCTGAGACATTTGGAAGCTATGGACCTCAGGCCAGATCGAATCCGCGATTACCTTTTCGGGGGCTTACATGTTACCCACTGCACCACTGAGGCCACTGTTTTGCCCTTCTTTCAGTTATTAGTATCCCCTTATTATTAATTGTCCTGGTTTTCTACTGTTCGAATAAGTGGCAAATTGTATTATTCGCACTCCAATAAGTAATCGAACGATAGGGTAACACGAGGAGGTTTTTATCAAACATCTATTTTGCTAACGTTTCGACGTCTTCGTCTTCTACAGAGTCTAGGATCCGAGTCGATGATCCACAATTGTTACTCCTCGCAATGTGGGGTCTTTCACTCTAACAGAGTTTTACACGGATCCTAAGAACACAACCAACTTTCAACGACATTCTTGAAGAAGACAACGTGAAATAGCAAACGAGCCCATCTGTGAATCTGAAGGACTGTATGGACGATAGATGATATATGCCGAAGAATTGAATTGAATAGAAGAATTGCTGGGAACCGCACACTAAATGATAATGCTTCATAAAAATATAATTAATAAATTCAATTGAATAAGTGTGCAGCATACTATCAAAATACATAGAGCATTTCCACACGCAAGAAAATGGCAGTATACACCGTGGTGTGAGTCTGGTACTGCAATGACAGGAAAACGTCCACTGAATCCACCTTCGCCTCACTGTAAGTACATGGTCACTTTTCGTTCGCGTTTAGTTCCAACCTACCATCCGATTGTGACGAGCACAAATTTGTGACGAAGGCCGAAGACCCCTCTCCACCATATGAGGAAAGAATCAGTGAACTTAATTTAAAAAGCATGCGATTTGAACAACCCTTCTGGAACGTTGCTTTTTTTCATGGAAGAAAACTAAGGTATAGGGGAAGTTACCTGTTGTTTACTAATTATTTATACGACCCTCCTCTCACACCTACTATGAGAATCCTAGCGCTTCTCACATCCAATTCGTTTCCTTGCATTCATCGTCCACGAACGTCTTCTAACCTTTTCAATGTCGGTTTGGCTGATACTTGAGGGTTATCTTCTGGTGATGAATGTCGTGTCGGTCGTGTCGATTGGTCGTGTCGATTCTCCCTGTACTCCTGAGAAAGCTGGGCAAGAGCGTTCTCATTTGGATTGTGAAAAGTGAGCTTTTCTCAGACAAGTCCGATACCAATTTCTCGATCAGAGACATCAAAGGCTTGGTGAGCGCGGTGCGGGAACCTGAACTGTGCTCGTGATGAACAGCATCACAATCACAGCACTACCCACCCATGTAGAAGGTCTGTATATATAATATAGAGTCTTTTGGCCTATTTTTACTTAACAGTTCACATATGTTCGTTAGAAAGTGTATAGACAATGTCAGTAGTTGTTCAGCTGTTTAGAAATATTCAATCAGAGGTATACTCGTGATCCTTTTGAATAACTGGTAATCCTTTAACTTTACTTCCTCTATTAAAAGCTTCGGATTTTTTCATCATCTTCTCACTTTCTTATTATACAATGAAGTTAGAATTGTGATTAAGACATGTTCAAAATTTAGCACTCAACACGAAAGTTTTTCTGTAGAGCTTAATTTGAAGGCCATTGTAATCAAGTGCAACAGTCCTTTAGCAGAATTTTTTAACCAGAATTCATTTTTCTGGAGTAGATCTTGATGACCTTAGGAGAAATTCAATGGTAATCATTCTCAGTGTACGAATTTTCGAGATCCACTGGAAGAGAATCGGTTTCAGTCGGCGACGATGTCCAGTTATCCACCGCCGGCCTGTCTTTTACAACCGATAGTCATCCCACCTCGGCAGCTATTCGGACCTGGTCCGTCCAATATGCGTGACGTTATCGCCGAATCACAGTCCATGCCACTTCTTGGACATTTACACCCGGAATTTCTTAAGGTGAATTGCATAGTTTATAGATTTATGTTTTTTCTTTAGAGTATTCGGTTTTTTTCTTTCTCGATAGTCGCTCGTTGCATGGTTGATTAACTAAATGAACTTGAAGATTCCCAAATGAGAACTAAGGGACAACGTGCTTCAGCTAATTATTTTTATCGTCAAGAAGGATAAGAGGATAGGACGTTTGGTGTTGACCAATCACTTCGGAAAGAGCGATGCATTGAGCTCTATTCGTAGCCTCGTAAAAGGAAAAAAGGAAAAAAGTGATTCGATTATTTCGCCTGTACGCCTGAACGAGCCTATTGATACACTAAGTCACTGTTTTTATCTTATAAGGAAGTCTGCTAGCAGTGCGCTAACCCTGGCGTGGTCAGGGACTTGGTTGGTCATGAGTGCAGGATCAAGGCAGTAACGGTTTGTGTACTGCAAAGTGCCTCTAACCATTGCGCTAAAAGCACTCTATTTTTATTGTTACTCCGTCTTCCCTATTCTATCTCTTCCAAGATGTTTGTTCTACCAGAGTAATTTTAAGTTTATATTTGCTGCTTAGCTAAGCGTAAACCTCCCAGAAGTCATTGTCGTCCTGGAGGGAAAATAGTCGAAATGGGATAAACTTTTCTCCGATCGATGTGCAGGCGATTGCTCGTGATGACGACCTAGAAACGCCCTGAAATGTATTATCCCAAATGAAAAGTCTAACCAAGCCAGCGGATTATCAGTTGAATGAAGATAGTTAGGTGGGCTAAACTATTTCTGAGGGCTTGCCATCTAGTAGATAGGCAAGTTTGTTGGCATAGATAGATAATTATTATCGCTGCTATGTTATAGGTATGTGCAGAGGCGTTTAGTGTTGTGATTAGAGGTGCCCTACAATACAGATTGGATTGATTCGATCCGATGCTATGCGTTGACCTTCCATCCCTCTGGAGTCAGCAAATTGGTCCCGGATTTATCCAGAAGGATAAAAATATTGACTTGACATATTAGTAGGCTCTCGGAAGTCCTTCTATAAGCTAGATGGGCATCTAATTGCCTCTATCGGTCTATGTATTGAGACTAATTCATTGCGCTGGTTCAGCGATTGGTCAACGCAGAGTGCTTTATTTTTCGTCCTTTATTATGTAAGTGTCACAACCATTAGTTATTATTGCAACGTATTCTTTTTTTACAACTTTTTAGTTCAGTGATTTCAGGTTATGAGTGATGCTCGTCAGGGTATGCAGTATGTTTTCAAGACTCGTAACGCGTACACGTTTGCAGTGAGCGGCACCGGTGAGTCTTTAAAAGGCGAAGTAAATAAATTGATTCTGGAGCGAGGTCATTGAGTTCCAGTAACAGAGGTGAGCCCTTTGCCTACTGGGTCATCCCGCCTAATTGAGTGCTTCTCACAAGGCTAAATTAGAGTATTTCTGAATTCTACAATATTGCTATCTTTTTTGAGTATTTACTTAGTATTTTCTTCCTTTGACTACTTTCTGCATTATTTTCTTAAAAGGAATGTAGAGATTTATCGAAAAAAAAACAGTGAGAAAATTTTGACTTCATACAGAGTGTAGAGCCGATATGAAAATAAATGTCTTCAAGACGATGGAATTTCTTCCGGATGTTTTTGTTTTCTGTTTGTCTTCTGCTCGCTTTTTGATTTTTTAAGGTAAATGTTTTTGTTTTATCGTCTATATAGAATTATATACCATCTTCTGAAGGGTCTCGAGCAGGTTGATCACTAGACTTCGTGGCATGTCTCCAAGTGGCGTGGTTACATTAGGTTGGACGCATACTGTAAACGAGTAGACTGTGTGACTGACGACTGAACGAAAATGACTGTTTTCCCTGAGGTAGACTGTGGACCTGTATTGCTTGGGCGGCAATATACGAGATATCTTGAATACGAGATGCTGATGGTAGTTCATGCTTTCGAGAAGAACTTTATTCCACTTTGTTAGCGGTCTGATCTTGTTGAATTTCCCCAAATCGCGGTCAAGTTCATTGTCAAGTACATCCATATTTCTTTATCATTAGGTATACGGTTATTTGAAGTCTTACGTTAAATATTATGCGTATTCCGCCTGGTTAAAGAGACGTGAATCCTTTGGAGATTTCGAAGATCAGTCAAGAAAATAGAAAATGTACGTTGAAGAACCTTATCTAAAGTTCGTTACGGCCGTATACGGTCGTTTTCGGTCCTCGTTAATGCCTTTCAACCATTTGAGATATTCGTGAAGAAGATGTGAAAATGGCGACCAGCGGAAAAAAGTTGTCCTCTCATCCACTTAGTCTTTTCGTTAAATATCTTTTGATGAGAACCGTTTTTATTCATCACTTGGATAAAATCCTTTAATTTAAAAGGCGTTACGAAGAGCCAATAGTGCGAAATCTTATATTTTATGTTGGTACTCTGCTTGTAAACTGTGCTCTCGTTGGCGGAAAATGTGGTTTGTCTTTTTTTTATGGATTCCATTAATACTCGAGGATTGTTGGTATATTTTTCTAGTCATAAGAAGCGGCAAGTGTTTCGGGGATATGGAAACATGAAGTCTATAGTGATTTTACGGAGAAAAATTGCCGTGAAAGTCACGCTAATTCCAGATCTTCGTTTCAAAGTTCTTCTTCTCACTTCTCCTTTACATAAATGCAATGGTAGTGCCATCGATACATTGTTATTATGTGCAGGACACGCTGGTATGGAGTGCGCGATGCTGAATCTTCTCGAGCAAGGTGATGTGCTTCTCGTCGTTGAAATCGGCATTTGGGGAAAAAGAGCCGCCGATCTGGGATCTCGTATCGGCGCTACCGTGCACACCGTCACAGCGCCACATGGCAGCGCTGTTGAGATTGAGGCCATAAGAGAGGTACAAACCAACTTATTCAGGGTTTCATTTACGTGTTCTGCATTAGAATACACGACCATTTAATCGTAGTACTATCGAGTGATCTGGAGAAAACGAATCTTCCGAATTTTCATTTATCTGTTTTTTATTTCATATGACCCTTCTTCACATCCACTGTGCGAATCCCAGTACTTCCTACATTCGATCCTTTTCCACATCGTCCACAAAGGTGTTTGTAAATTTCATGTGTTGTTTAGCTTGATGCTGGAGGATTTCATCTTCTCTATGAATGTCGTAGAATACCGATCGAGCCGATTCTCCTTGCAATTTTGACGATAGTCGAGCAAAGGGGTTACCACGTGGATTGGAGGCGAGCGTTGGAAGGGAGTTGAACCAGTTCCCTGCTTAATGACGTAGTGCATCACTAACCATTTTGTTACTCCTTTCGAAAGAAAGGTCTGCCTTTTTGCGGAATTAAGCAGAAATTTTAAGGGAAATGCTATAAAGATAGTCATGAAATTCGACTAGAGTCTGCCATTATTTTGGACAGAAACCGCATTCATCTGTAAAGCTTTAAAAAAGTTGTTTCTCACGTGCATACATACGTTTTAGAGTTCATGATAAAACTTTTCTATGAACATCATCAATAAGAGTACGGTGTTACTTCTTCTTGAACATTTCGATAAAAGCATTGTCACATTAATAAACAATTTTCAAGAAATAAGCAGACGGACTCCTCATGTTGATGAAATCCATGAAATCTGTCGAAGGATTTCAAAAAATTTCAGGCAGTCGAAAAATACAAACCAGCCGTGCTGTTCGTTTGTCACGGTGAAAGCTCGACAGGTGTGAAGCAACCCCTGGAGGGTTTAGCTGAATGTTGCGCTAATCATGGTGCACTATTACTAGCTGATACCGTAGGTTACTCCATGCATGACTACTTTATGAAAATTTCATTACCAAATTATTTCTTATTTCGACTAATGAAATGTTTCTTTAGTGCTGTTCACGAATTGTTCCACATAATATTGGGGTACGACTTAAGTGATTATAACGCGGTTTCTTCTTGGTGATTTGTAGCTGCTGTTTTTGTATACGTTTAATGTGAAGATCTGCTAGTGTTAACTAATCAAATCGAAACTAAGTGGATGAGGACTTTTTTCATAGTTTTTTTCCTTGAGTTTTTCTTTGCTCTACCTATTACCTTCCGATGAATGTCGTCCCGTTGTAGGTGGCTTCTCTTGGTGGTGCTGAGTTTCGAATGGACGAATGGGGAGTCGACTGTGTTTATTCGGCCACCCAAAAAGTTCTCAATGCTCCTCCTGGGTTGGCTCCTATCTCATTTAGCGAGAAAGCCTTGTACGTTGGTTGACATGCACAAAAACTCGTTCTCTTTTCGTTGATCTCGTTTTTGTTCTTTATTTCTGTTTATGCTTTCCTCTTTGTCTTTGGGAAGCTGATGAAACATGGAGTATTCGGGCATAATACCTATATTGTCGAGATGTTGCCAAATGTTTACGTTGCCAAAGTGGGCAGTGTAATAGGTGGCATGTGGGACGCGTTTATCATTCCTCAATGTGTAGTTAACAACTCGAATTTTTTCTTCCTTTTTGTTTCTTTAAGATTACTATCACTAGCAAAAATTCCACGCTTGAATTTCCTAAATCTCATTAAAGAGAACTATTAAGTTTATCATGGTTTGGGATTCATTCTGTGTCCAATTTCAGGCACAAGATTCGAAATCGAAAAACTAGAGTTCCGACGTTTTATTTTGACGCGTTAGAGTTAGGAAATTACTGGGGATGTGACGATCAACCGACCAGGTGCGGTATCTTTATGTATCGGATTTTTTTAGTTTTTATTTAGTCGCAATCGCTTGTGGTGGCTTACCGATGTATCGAGCAAGTGTTGCTATCCCCACAGACAACTCTGGTACCAATTTGCCGATCCCGGAGGGATGGAAGGTTTGGAGGGCCAGGGGCTTGAGGATCAATCTCATACATATTGAAGGGTGCCTCTGACCAATGCGCCACACGCTTCCTTTGAATGGTAGTATATAGGGATGGATAATTTTCTCTATAAGATGGAAAAAAGTCATTATCAAATCTTCTGTTGGTCTTAGCTAACCTATTCGAGTTATGGCTAAGATTTGAGTTTCTGGCTACCAAGATTTGTCTTTCGCTGTTGATGGAATGATTATAGGTATCATCACACGGCGCCTGTTTCTTGCGTATACGCTCTACGATCAGCTTTAGCTGTGATCGCAAAAGAAGGCATCGATGAAGGAGTGAGCAGACACAAAGAGAATGCTAAGTTTCTCTATGAGAAACTTGAAGAAGCCGGCCTACAGTGTTTTGTTGAGGAAGAGGTTGCTTCCATTCCAGTTTTTGGTAGACTTCTAGGCGAAAATTCATCAAAAGATCAAAATCAACTCATGGGCAAGATTCTTGGGTAATTATTGCATTGGCGTCTCGTAGAACTGGGGTATGGTCAAGGTTTTTGGATGAGAATTTACTGTAGTAATAGAACATTAAGCAAAATAAATGGCAGATGAGAATAATGAGGTCTCATTAGAGCAGAGTTTTTTTCAGTTGCTAAGGTTTATAATTTGCGCAAAGTTACTACAGTGAGATCGAATTCCCTGGCAGAGACCATCTTGTTGATTAGGCTTGTGTTTCTAGTTCTAAGCTTTTAGTACTCTTCTGGTAGGTAAACTAGGATTTGTGGCTACGTGAGCGTAGATGGATGGAAGCGTCTGATCTTATTTTACGACATTGTCGTACTTTTATCGTTTGCAATTTTTACCACATTGAAACGAAGCTCATTTAGAAATGGCGATTACCATGCCTGACAACTGTGAGAGTACCAGACGGTGTCGATTGGAAGGGTGTAATAGAGGAGATGATGAAAGAAGGAATAGAGGTATTGTTTCATGGTTAGATTTTGTATAGCACCAGCTTCATCATATGTATCTGATTTTACAGCAAAGATATGAGCACTCCAGTTTCAAAATTATTTTCCTTTCAGATTGCTGGTGGTTTAGGTCCTACTGTAGGGAAATTGTGGCGAATTGGCACATTTGGTGGAAATTCGAACAAGGCGAAGGTTAAAAATGTTGTAGCGTCACTGCAGAAAGCAATAAGGAAGAAATCTAATTAATGATAATAAAATACTGGACGTCGATGAAGTGGTTTATTGATGTTTTTTTTTTGTTGGCCATATTTCCTTTTGTTAGAAATGGTGAACGTTCGACAGTTGCTCGCGTATTCTTTAACAAAACTAAGGTATTGCATACAAAGAGAGTACAGAAAATCAGCGACCACTGTCTACCCGTGCTTCATTTTACCTTCTATTTTCTGCCTACTACAATTTTCCCGGCAGGGTACTAAGCGAAAGACAACCACAACGTTGCTGAGATATTTACAAAACTCTGGACCGTAGGCGACTATGGTGGGGAACGAATGCACTGTTGTCCTTTCCAGGGAGTAACGCGTTCACCACCACGCTACGCGGGTCCTTCGTTTCGCCATCTCTCAAAGAGTGCTTCGTTTCACCGCCTTTGTCGTCGTTGTTGGAAACCACCTCATATCGGAAATGTCCACAGGCTGCACCCATTGCAGAATCTGGCTGAATGAGCCGAATGTCACCAGATATAAGAATACTTGACTTTTTTTAAAGTTCTACTAAAGCCGCTCTGAAAAAAATGAGAACAACACACCGCCGAATAAACGAAGTACTGAAGGTGTTTGGTCCAAGTGCGTTTGGTACTAGCACAGTTCATACAGTTGGGTTTCTTACTCATACGCGCGTTGATATCGTTGAACGACGAATCACCTGAGATCTCCCTCTTTCCCAGGCCAATGTCGAGATCACTCATCATTTAGTCTCACCTGATGAACGAAAGGATTTCCGTATGAGAACAGTATTGTTGTACTTTTAAACGCTGCAGGAAAGAAGCCAATATTGACAAGGTAATATCCGACATGAGTCACTACTATGTAGTTTAACAGCTTCATCGTCGTTGTGTAATGTTTCTGCTTATTCATCATCTAGGGCATGGCCTTTATTTTTAAGTAAGGGTAATCAAGCAAAGAAGACCAGCGTTTCTATTCGGAAGCCTAGTTAAGAAGAAACTTATAAACCTATGTCGACAACAACAGCTCGTCCTTATGCAGCAGAAGGCCATCGTAGGGAACGTGACCGTTCATCGACCTTCAAAGCTATATGTTGATGTAAGTGCAATATCCAATTTTTATTTTAAACTGCAGCTTTTGGTCGACGTTAGCCACCTCGTAACACAGATGTTAAATGAAAAAAATGAGTCTGGTTAGGCATATCTCGTGGTCTTCTTGGACTCGCACCATATTGCAGTTGCTAATCGAAAATAGGCCTTCAAGTCAGTTCCCGGCACCGAATAGCCACTGGCTTTTAGCAGAATACTCGACTTCATGAGAAGACGCCACGCAGGACTTTTCGCAGCTGTCACGGGGCAACACCTCGAACTTGGGTAATTAAACTGTTTGTATACATAAATGCAACACCAATACAACTGTAATATCGGCAAATAACTACTGGCACACAAATAAGGTAAGTTCAAGGTTATGAGGTGCTGTACCTGTTACTAAAATAAGGCTTATAAAGGCATAACAGTATTGTAAATAATACTACTACAACATTAGTGCTATGACAACAGCAACTTGATAACAATGACAAGTAAAGGGATACGGATGATGGCGCGTACAGTGGCCCAGATACAGATGAGCTGTGCATTAGGCTGTGTTTGGATCATATCTACAGCGGTTGGGTGCACTTCCACATTAATAGATGATGATAGCAAGTTACCTTAGCATTGATGGTTCAAGTGACTACGAACGAGATGAGTTATCTGCGAAACACGGCTAGGCGGTTGGTCTTGGCTAACGATATGTCTGCAACGTGAAATTTGACCATCGATGGGTGCCACCATTGCCTAAGATATCATGAGCCAAAAAGATAGCAACTGAGAAATGATAAGCCTATGGCGGCTTAACAAATACACAACATAAGTTGGGCGGCCAGCGGTCTTGTACGCATGGCGCACAGTGTGGGAGGAATGGTACATGCCACCGATGACGTTGCGTCCGCAACAGTCAAATTAACAGTTAATTCTACTCAGCCAAGCACTTTCAAAGCCTCAGGAGATAAAACTGGATACATAAACAATCAATTCGCATAGATGACGTCCTCTTTTAAGCATTCACAATTTTAGTCCCCATGAACCACTTTTTGCCTAGCTCGAAATTGATCAATAATCTGCTGTTTTTTTTTGATGAACACACACGGCCTTGTTACTATACATTTTATTCACAAAAGCCGTTTCGGCGGCTTCAATCTAGTTAGCCAAACAACTCCATGAACCTAATAAAAAAGTCTCTCGAACGATAGATTTCAATATGTTTACCGATCGGTTTACCAATTTAATGCTGAACGAAATACTCCACTACCAGCCAATAGCACACGGAGACATAAGGGAGAAGATTTTGAAGTAGAAGTTACCACCTTCGCACGGGAATCGAAAACTTCGGAACCATTCTGGATGTTTCGAAACCGACCTTCCCTAAACCTCGGTGTGATTAATCAATATGTATTCTTTCTTGATAAGCTTACACGAGGTTGATAAATATATTTATCAACCTCGTGTAAGCTTATCAAGAAAGAATACATATTGATTAATCACACCGAGGTTTAGGGAAGGTCGGTTTCGAAATATTACTACGCTTTGTGCTAGCTGATAATACACCGACCTCTGCACGATGTGCGCAGTGATGTATGTCCGGAAGAAATACAAGTTGTTACCACCGGACATTGTCATTACATATCCACCATCAGCATCGTGTATAAAAGGGCATCACTGAGTGAGGATGCCTCATTCGAGAAGATGGCTCGCTGAGGAAGATCTGGCTCGACAGGAAGGCGAAGACGCAACGTCGAGGCGAACAAGAAGCATGGACCATCGACTCGGATCGCCGGCTCTGAGGAAGACGAAGACGTCGAAACGTTAGCCGAAAATAAATATATTTATCAACCTCGTGTAAGCTTATCAAGAAAGAATACATATTGATTAATCACACCGAGGTTTAGGGAAGGTCGGTTTCGAAATA